TCCTCAGGTAATATATGCTGTAAATATACATAATTGTTGACGCTAGCCTCCCAATTATCGAAATTCTCCTCCTTTTGTCCACCATAAGAGTTAGGAAACTTGAGCTTAACAGGCTCTTTGCGGGTACGACCCTCACTCCCTGACGCGGCTCCTACTTTGGCACCCTCAATGGCACCTGCACAAAATTTCTCTGCGCCTTTCTTCATCTTCTTAATTTCGGTCCCGACGTGAGTCATCACGTCGCGCGCAAACTCTCTAAACCCAGTCCGGATGGAATGGAGGGCCATTTCTTGGTCCCTAACAGACTGATGGTGTTCGGTCCAGGCCCGGCCTAGGAGCTCAATGCTCCCAAGGATCTTGTCCAACTTAGCCTGTATATCAGGCTGGGCCTCTACCTCTTGCCTGCACGAATGTAAGCTTTCCACTTCCCAGTCCATCCGGTTAGCCTCCTCCGTCCTCCTCTTCTTCTCTCTCGCCAGACGTAGTTTCCACTCCAACTTCTCTCATTTTCTATTGTCTAGCGTTCCAAGGGATCACTCGCTGCTTCGAGCTCCCTTGTTGCTGCTTCCTTCTCCTCCTGAGGCACATACAACATCGCCTTCTCATCTTCTCCCAAAGATAAATTAGCCACCCACTCGCTTATCTTCTTCTCCACCCACGGGTCATCCTCCTTCGCGCCACTGCTCTCTCCTCTTCCTCACACCTCCTTTCAAGGGCCTATTCTTCTTCTTCTAGCTGCTGCTGCTCTTCTTCTGCAGCCTTCACCTCTTGTTGTATTCTTTTCATCTCCTCCTCCAACTTTTTGTTCTTCGCCGCCTGCTCTCCGCTATTATCTTTAACTTCGCCCCAGAGAGACCCCTGACTAACACAACCTAACTGACTCAATCTATGGACCATAGAATCCGCACAGGATCCTGTCAACTAGGGTCACTAGCCTGGGCCTAAACTATGGCCGTCACTACAGGACTCACGACTGATCAGGAGGCATTTAAGGAGATCCCCCGTAACTCCTCAGGAATTATTTAACGTCGCAAACAGGACGACGCGATCAGCAAGTCCTCTCAAGACTTAGAGGGCCTGTTGTGCAGCCCACAACTCGGATTTTGGGCCTACCGTGCCACACCGAGCAGCCCGTCGGGACAGTCGTGTCGTCAGACACAGTCTTTAGCCCTACTCAGCCCGTGTGGGTTTGGTCAACAAGGCCCTATCCTTCATACATAGAGTTCCTACACCTCGACAGAAGAGACTCGATGCAGAAAGAAGAGACAAACAGACTCAGCAATTACCACAGGGTGTGTGCACATCCATAGGGCGAGGGGATAGGCTGAAGGCTTGGCGAGAATATAGCAACTCCAGCTTGGTCAAACTGACGGTCAACAGCTCCGGTCAACGCTTGGTCAACGCTTAGTCAACGTCGGTCTGCACCTTGGTCAACACTATGGTCAACCCCCGCTCAACTCCGGTCAACTCCGCCGGTCAACACTTGATCAACTCCGGTCAACTCCGCCGATCAGCACTTCGCCCGGCTATGGCCGCCGCCTTCTTCTTCCTCACCAACCTCCGCTTTCTCTTCTCCCTCCTTCCTTTCTCCTTCATCGCCCCTTTCTTCTTCCACCCCGGCTATCTTCTTCCTCTCTCTTTTTTTTTTTTTTTTTTTTTTTTTCGCCTCTTTCTTCTTCCACCCCGGTTATCTTCTTTCTCTCTCTTTTTTTTTCCGTCTCTCCCTTCACCTTCCTCGGCTATGGTTTCCTTACTCCTCTTGGTCTCTCCCTCCTTCTCTACCACTGTTCCTCCTTCGTCCCTCGGTGTCCGAGCTCGGCGGCTATGGCCGCCACCTTCTCCTTTGTTGGACTGCACAACCAATCTTGTATCGCTGCTCTCTCTCTCTCTCTCTCTCTCTCTCTCTCTCTCTCTCTTTTGGTTGTCTTCTTTGCAGGTGCGCGCGGCATCGTTCTTCCTCCGCAAATCAGCTATGGCGGACTTCTCCTTCAACGGCGATCGCGCATGGAATAGCGGGTACCAGCTCCGATACCAATGCAATCAGACTCGCTTTCTTTCTTCCTTCACATGCATGTAAACAGATAGCACACCAAACTGGCGACAAGCGCCCACTCAAAGCTCAGAGATATGGAAGTCGGAAACACAATTCAGATACATGCTCACTTCAAAAGGCTATGGCGCATCAGCGCCTGTACAACTCTCTGTTCGTCACTGTGCTCAACTCCACTGTTCACACACCCTCAACTCAGGATCACCCTGGATATCCCACACGCAACACACTGTATCACACACATGCCCACACTATACTCACCTACCACCTACAGCGGCTATGGCTACGCAACCTCCACTCTGCCCACTTCGTCTTCGGGCACTCTGCAGACCACCTCGCACAAGTCGCTCAAGCAGCGCTTCCGCATGGCTCACGCAGGAGTGAATGAATGGCTGGGCGCTGCCTCTTAATTTATACTTCTGTAACTCGTTGGTCTGCCCCTTTCCAATGCCCTTGGTGCACACAGTCCCACACGGTACTTGCTTGACTGGACTGTGACTGACTGGGACCGGTACTGCTGACTGCATGGGTTTGCACTGCCAACTTGATGCAGTCGCACCGCCAACGTACAACTTCGAAAGGCCACTTCCGGACGTTCCGAAAGTCTGTGGGCTTGGCCTTTCGAACACTGTAGCAGCTACGACCTTGACCTTTCAGGACTGTAGCAGCTACGACCTTGACCCTTCAGAACTACTACAGCTACGACCTCTGCTACAAAACTTGACCTCTACTCGACAGGACTACAGTTCAAGACCCGACAACTACACTGGCCTATGACGGACGACAGCAGCTTCCTAAGACGCAGGCCACGGATTCAAACACATAGGGGTACTGTACATGGGTGAGTGAGGTCTAGGGATCGAGCCCTGAGATCTGCATCCGCTACTGCAAAGGTGAAAACCATTTCAGGACAGGCCACGCCAGTTCAAACAGGCCCACGCCAGCCAGCACTCTTCCACAAAGGAATGTGCCTTCCCACGGCCAGAACACATTCTGGCTGGCTGCTTCGTGTGACAGCACTGCTTCACCATGAGGGGGGGTCGGGCGCTGGCCAGGAGGACGGGTGCACGGGCGCAGGGACACAAAGCTGCTGAGACACAGCGGCCATAGACGGGCTGCTTGCGCATGAAGCCAGTGGGGCTTGGCGGAGATCTTTGGGTGAGGAAAGGAGAGCCTGTGAGGCAGAAGCTTGGGTGATGGGCGGAGCACGAGGGGCGTACCTGGTGTTGTCAGAGGTCTGCATCAGTGGTGCTTCATGTACATCGGGTTGCTGCTGAAGTAAACCTAGTCGAGCCTTTAGGTTCACAGGCTAGTATAGAAGCTGTCTGATTGTAGTCTGGGGGCTGAGTTGAAACGGTTTTCACCTGTTAGCAGTAGCGAGTGCAGATCCCAGGGCTCGATCCCTAGTCATCACCTTACCTGTGTACAGTATTCGTGTCAACCCCGAGAGTTGAACCCGTGACTTGTGTATTTGTAACAGTTGGTAGTCTGTCGTAGGGTCCGTAGGTAGCAGGGGTTCGATCTGTAGATCTGTCGAGTAGAAGTCTTAGGGGGTTCTAGAAGTCCTAGCTGTAGAACTTCTGAAAGGTCAAGGTTGTAGCTGCTACAGTCCTGAAGGGTCAAGGTCGTAGCTGCTACAGTCTTCGAAAGGCCAGGACCCAGACTTCCGGAAGGTCCTAGTAGTGGCCTTTCGAAGTTGCTCACGTTTTGGCTGAGGCAAGTCGGCAAGTGGGCAAGTGGTGAGCCTAACTGCAGTACGTCGGCAGTGCGACTGCATCGAGTTGGCAGTGCAAACCCATGCAGTCAGTAGTACCGGTCCCAGTCAGTCCTAGTCCACTCAAGCAAGTACCACATGGGACTGTGTGCACCACGGGCAAGGGAAAGGGCCAGACCAACGAACTACAGAAGTATAAATCAAAGGGCAGCGTCCAGCCATTCATTCATTCCTGCGTGAGCCATGCGGAAGCGCTGCCACAGCGACTTGTGCGAGGTGGGCTGCAGTGAGCCCGAGGACGAAGTGGGCAAGAGAGAAGGAGCTTAGCCATAGCGATAGGTTAGCAGCGGTCATAGCCGCCATAGCTGTGGATAGAGTTCAGTGTATGAGTGCGTGAGTGTGCAGTGTATGCGTGTGGGATATCCAGGCTGATCCTGTGTGTGTTAAGCAGCGACGAGTGAGTGACAAACAGAGACTTGTACGGGTGCTGAGTCGCCATAGCCATCTGAAGCGAGTTGTATCTGAACTGTGTTCTTGTTTGCCATATCTCTGTGTTTTAAGTGGGCGCACGTCGCCAGTTTGCTGCGCAATCTGTTTACATACATGTGAAGTGTGAATGAGAGCGAGTCTGATTGCAGAGTGCCATATACAAGGGGGGCATTGGATACATTCATGGTGGAGGTGAGATGGGGCCTGACATTGTCAATTGGGTTCATTGCTTTGCTCTTATTTAGAGTGTATCTTGGTAAATTCTGCTTCCCGTTCGACACACAACTATCTGGCTACATTCTTCCACACTTTTATGCATTTATTCATTTTCATCCCTTGTATCGGGTGGTGATCACTTTCTGTGGGAGGCCACAGTTGAAATAAATCCAGGTATTGCCGATAGCAGTGTACCATGTTGTGGTAGTTTTTCAACCTGTGTGCCGCAGACAGCAGAACACACACAGGCACACACACACGCACGACCGGCTGTCGCCTGCCAGCAATCATGCGTGCGGACACACACACACACCTCATCACACACAAACACATCGGCGTGAAATGATCGCCCCCCTGAAAACACGAGCAGCGCCTATCACCTCTCCACGAGTGTCGTAAGTACATCTAACAGTCCAGTATGTTTGACTTGGTTCCAAATGGATGATATTCAATGTTGCCTTCTCTCGTTGCACAAAAACACCAAAACTATAGGCAACTGAGGGTTTAACAGACTGTCCGTATCAAGCTCACCATCACAAACTCCACAAATGCTATCCGCGTCGAATGGTGGTAATCACCCAATAATCTTAACCTGGCAACCTGCACAGCCACAAAGGTATTGGAGCCATGATGAAGCGTAAATAAATCATTATGGATGCTTTGAAACCAACCATGAATGACAAAATTCACAAGTAAAGGCAGTGCAACAATGACCGCACACATGGAAATATCAACGAGTTATATAGGTCTGTTACGATCCTGGCCAATTTCGAAGTGCAAATTCACAAGAAAGTACAATGCCATCCAGTTGCAAAAAGAAATGAATAAACTTGAGAGGAGAGAGAGGTAACGAAGGAGAAGAAAAGGGAAGAAAGAAGAAGAAGAAGATGCACACCAGCGAAGGACCAAAGACAATTTTTCATTCTTCGCCAACCAACTTCTCGTCCTCATCTCCTCCCCTTATTCAAACAATAAATAGTAATAATAATAACGATGAATGGCTGATAATAACGATGAATTGCTGAACCAGAATCAATGTCCGAATCCCTCTTAATACTGCTGGCACAATATGAGGTCCACCATAGCCATGGCCTTCCTCCTCTCTCACTCCATCAAGGCCGAGGCTATGGCGGACTACTTGTCCAGTTGCAAAAAAAAATGATATGAAGTTCAAAACCTGCATGAACGTGGGCCAGGGGTTGTAACATGTGGTCAAAGGCCCGCACGAGAGGGCAAGAGCCACGCCCAAGTCTGAGAACATGGCCTAAGGCCAAGGGGTACCTTGGGCCAGGCCAAAAACGGCCTTCACAGGCCTTACGGGGGACAGTTGACCTTGAGAAGACCACGGCCAAAAGTCAGAAGTCAACCCGCTGGTCAGCCACGGCCGTCGATAAGATATGCATCATTGATTGTCTGCAGGTATCCAAAAGTATCCGGTCCAAGCAGGACAAGTGGGAAATCTGCAACTGCACCGCATCCAGGCCATTGGCTTCAGATTGATCCGGGTCGTCGCCCTGTGGAGAGCAGAGGCTGGTCAACATAAGACCCAGCCCTTCTTTGGAGATCATTCAGTCTTGTGCGTTCTGCTTGACGCTGGCTTGATGCTAGTGCGACGACATGAGGCTGCCGGAGATTTATGCTGGCGCCATTTCTCTGTGTACGGGCCCCAGCCTTGTGGGTGATTATGCTGACGTGGCCATTGCCACATTGATTGCAACATTGACGGGAGAGAGAGCGAGGAGTAGGAGGACCTGGACTGTGAGATTGGTTGAGTGATGAGGGACCTGCGCCATCCTCTAGGGCTGCTGCTGACATGGCTGCAGGATGGGCGCCTTGTTGTGACCTGTTCATCATGTGTGAGAGATTGTCAGGGGAGAACTTTACTGCTTACGTGGCGAGTGCGTGGGAGCACCCGAGGAGGAAGTGGGCTAAAGAGGGGTTCGGCTTCGTCGATTCTTGTGAAAACTCTCCTCCTCCTCCCTGGAATTTCTCCCACCTTTCTCATTCTCTTCTTTGTGATTGGGACATTGGGAGACTATGTATGACGAGCATGATTCCATGAACGATTTTTGTAGACATTGATGTCGCGTTGTGACAGCATCGTATCATGAGAATAGCGAGCCCAATAGCAGATTCTGCAGCAGCTACAGTTAATACGAATAAAGCAAATAATTGACCCATCATGTCATCCAGATAAACAAAAAAGACTAAAAAGTTCAAATTGACAGCAAGTAACATTAACTCAATTGACATTAACATAATAAGGATATTCTTTCTATTTAAAAAAACAGATTCCCCACTGGGTTCATTACAATTTGGTATCAGGACGTTATTTTCCTCCCTCCCTATCTGTTGATCGGGATATTTGGCGCGATCGCGATTTCCATGATGATGATGATGTGAGGACATGAACTTGATGACCATGGAGGGGATTCGAAGCACTACGACTTTTGGGTAGTGACTGGGCTCTGCAACGGGCTTACTGTGGCAACCTGGAGAGTTGTCAAAGTTCAATTACCTTGCGTATTTATCGCGGTTTGACCATCCTACTGCGTTTTTGGCCATCACTGCAGGGCCCTCAGGCGATCGAAGGTTTCAAGGCCCTCTCATGCGAGTTTGGGTGCACCTCACTTGTATCTAAGTGACTTAACATCTCTTTCTCTGCCTTTCTTACTCCCAGTGAAGTCCTTCGGTTTGGAGATGGAGGCGGCAAGCAAGATTGTAAACCAGCAATCGGCGCCAAGGCCTTTGTGGGAGGTTTGCCCCACCGATTGCAAGAGCTCTGCTAGGACCTAAGCGAGGTTCTCGACGCAGAGAACTTTCACGTAAACCCTTTTCTTTGTGTGTGTCCGCTGCACCCCTATCTGTATATGTCTCTACGCTATCTGTTATGCATACGTGCTCTCCCTTAAATCTTTATGTTTGTTCATGACTTGATCCAGACTGAATAAAGAAGATGCATGAATGAAGTTCATCTATTTATTGTTTGAACTCGGACAACAAGGGACGGAACTGCGGGAAAGTGGGAGGAAGGTGAATTGCCTGTGTGTGGTTTTCAAAAAAAGAAAAATAAAATTTCGTGTTACTTCAACAGCTTTGGGAACCTGGAGCAAGAGCTCTGCTTATTCTGAGTCATATTTTTAATAGGAAGTTGCTTTAGTGCTCGCCATGTGTTGGAGTGATAGGAATTAGTTTGATTTATCCATATCTCTTATTTAAGGACTTGTATAAATTGGGATATCACTTCCCCTAAGGAAGGTGCTGCCCAAATTTGTACATGATCCGAGTTAAAATGATTTTTCATTTCATGCTTTACATAGTTGAATAATCTACATTTTTAAAATTTTTATAGATTAGTATAAATTGGCAATCTACCCTGCCCAGGAAAAATGCTGCCCAAAATTTTACTAATTTAAAGGAGTTAGACATATTCTTCTATGCAAAGTTATAGGCTCTGTCTAATCATATTTTTGAGTCGGTAGGAATTTAAGGAACTACCTTCTCTAAAAAAGATGCTACCCAAACTTTTACTAATTCAAGGAGTTAGTAATTTGCCTTTATCTGATGCTAAATTTGGATTAGTATAAACAGTTAGATAGTACTTTCCTAAAGAGGAGTACTGCCTAAATTTTTGCTAATCCAAGGAGTTAGATAAAATCTTGGTTTTCGAGTTTGAGATTTTTTGGATTTTCCATAGTCTTACATAAATTATGAGAAGGCATGTTTCCTATGGGAAGCGCTGCCGAAATTTCCATAAACGTGGAATAGTAAGAATATTTATGACTTTTTTTTTTTTTTTTTGCAATCTACCCAGTCTAGGGGAGATGTTGCCAAATTTCAGCCTCCTTCAATTCGCTTCGGTTCAAGGTTCACCAATTCTAAGCCTGATCCTACGAGGATCATCTGTTATCTTTTGACAACAGGTCAATTTACGATTCAATTTCAACTCGCTCTTCCGACTCAACATAAGGCCTTAACACCTATGGGTTGGATTGTTCCTTTGGGTTTTTACCCGAACTTTTATTAAATCGTCACTGAGTGCTTTCTTTTGGAAGGTTGGACAAAGGTTGTGGCTTGTGTGAACAAGGCAAGGGGTGTGGTGCAAGGAGTGGTTGAAGTTGACCTCGCGTAGTGTGTGGTATGTCGATGTTGAATCTGCGTGTGATTGCAGGGTAGTAGATTAGGAGTTAGTAGGAAAAAAAACTGTACGGAGAAGTGGCGATGATGAATATGGCGGGGTATGTAACGCAAATTTCACTCGTTTCTTAATGAAATCGAATGAAAGAACGTACTAGATAAAGGTTTTAGCCCCGAGCGAGTACGCTGGCCTCCTTAGTTTTGGTGTTAGTAGTATGGAACGAGTTAGATAGAAGAACTGGTGCGTGATGATGCCGAACAAGTGGCTATGGTCGAAGTAGGAGATCGTTTGAACTCACCCGTTTCTTGATGAAAAGTGAAGATCCTAAAAGGAAGTTCTCAAGCACTACGAGCTCGATGGCGAGGTCGGATTTCATGATGAGAATGCAGGTTCATTGCAATGGGAGGCAAAGGCTGTGCGCCGGAAGAGCGGCTCGTAGGCGATGTATACTGCCAGCCTCTAGCAAAAAATTCATTATGATTTTGATTACACTATCAAGGGAAGTAGCCTCTCTATTCCCCTGCGCGTATGGTTTTCTCTCCCGTGCACACTCATAGCACCATCCGCATTTGATAGCCCTTTAGCCCATACTCTCATTGGGGTTTCTTTTCGATGCATCTACCTGTTGTGGCATGTTCTCCTATGTTCCCAGTGAGAGGATTCACCTACACTTAGTAAGTTGAATGGCGGGCAGAAAGGTTGTGGGCAAGGAGGAGAAAGAGTTAATAGGGGAGGAGAAAGGAGGAAGGAGCTTACCTCTTGACGATCGCTCCTTATATGTGATCGATGACGACGTCTCCTGCTTTTATCTCAGTCGTAGCCATCTCCATTTTGCCTACTTAGGAAATATTACATCGTAGTGGTCAGGTCGATACATCCGACCTCACCAGCCTTGAGTTGTGATTGTGCTAAAGCCAAGGCGTCCACATAGGAACTCGACACCCTGTACTGCGAGCGGCGATGCGTGCGCCTGGCCGAGGCTTCCGCCGAGCCCGGTGAAGATTGGGTGTGGTGACAAAGGATAGTCCCACGACGGGAGAATAGTGCCACGTGGCACTTTTATGTGTATCAGGACTTATCAGACTTGTTACTGTTTATTGATTGATGATGTGGAGGGAGAGGAAGCCCGGAGAAGGAGTGGGAATTTATTGCGTTGCTCTCGAGTGGTCACTGATTATCTCTTCCACCCTCTCCCGTCTATTCCCCCTCCACTCTCTTCGTCTATTGGTAACGAGATACTATATCAGGTATCACTTTCACATTAACTGGAGACATTGTGCACATCTGAGTCTACCTCTACTTCGACGTCTAACGAGTATCTTCCAGTTTGGGTTCATTACAGTCACAACTTACCGCAAGAAAAATAAAACATTCGGCACGGATAAGCATTCAATCTCGCAATTACATAGATCCCTTCGAATCTTCACGGCATTTCAGCACTCAAAATGCAATGCCCCTTCTT